TGACTTTCAAATTACATCACATCGCGGCGCAACAGTCACCTAAGCACTGGTCGGGCACGGAGCTTATATATGTAGAGCCAACTGGCAGCCAATTTCTTGCAAATTTACCGCATGACTTTCAAATTATTATACATCACATCGCGGCGCGACAGTCAACTAAGCATTGGCCAGGCACTGTGCCTGATTTGCTTACATAGAGCCAACTGGCAGCCAGCTTCAGGCGTGAATCACATCACATCTAAGCACTCTTTTATAAATAATATAATTAAATGATGAAGACATCATTCTAGTAAATATATTTTAATTCATATGCAATTAATGCATTTCACATAAATAAATCTTAACGAAAAATATATTGACCTTTAATTTATGTCTGCCACTAATACTTATCCCAATACCAGCTGTTTAAATAGTTGCAGCGCTTTTTATGACCAGTTACTTCACTTTAAGATGCAGCTTAAACCGAACCTCAGAACGAGTATCTACTTGCATAAATACATTGAGTTACTCCAGCAATACTTAACGCAATAATAGAAAATCTTATGAAGTGATTTTGTTCAGATTATTTAGAAAATTGTTTACTTTAGTACAGTTAGTTATTTTAAATATTTTCCTGTTTGTGCAAGGTGGATAAAATAACTGGTTTTGTAAGGGAACAAAATAATAATAAAAACCAAAACATAGTCTTTGTGTATAAGAGAGAATGCATTGCTTAAGAAACTGAGAAGCAAAAAACAAAACACACTGTTGTGAGCAACACGTTTAACCATCCAGTTGTTGGCCGAAGGTGCGCACAAAACTTCGAAAGCCATAAGATTTAGTTGTTAAATCGGAATACGTGGCGTCGGTTGCAACCACGAAGTCGAGCTTTGTGTTGTGAGATACATACACACACTAGTAGTAGAAATCTTACAACATTCCAATAAACTGGTCGCGCATGTGTAATGTGTAATTCAAGTGGTTAATAATATTCAATTATTAGACTAGAGTATAATAGATTCAAATATAAAATAATTTGTGTTCCAATAATGAAACATGTACACTAGTACAAGTTTTTAATTATTAACATTTGACCAAAATGAGGTTTTGTTTTATTATGAAAGGAGGAGATGAAAAGTCATAATAACAACTTGGAGTATTTTGCATGGAAAAATATAAAGTGAGTTAACAGATTAAGCACATCCCAAACTGCCATGTCTAGCATTGCTACCACCGTAAAACGCCGTAAGCCGTTAGTTAAATCGAAATCAAAAAATACAACCATAGGCACAAGTGCCGTTTTCACTGTTACTACCTCCACTACTACAAACACATTAAGTGACCCAGTTAAAAACTATAGCGCGAATGATCCATTTGATAAAGCGACGTTAGCCAACGCGTCATCAAACAAAAGACTTCAACGCTTCTCATTAAGCGACATACTTGTTGGTATAATGCCAAGAACAGCAAAACAACAAACTAACAGTAACAATGTATCAAGTAACACATCAAATAGCAATCCCACCACCGCTTTGATATTGCGCACAACTTCTCCCACTTTGTACAATGGCAGCATAGCATGTTGCCGCGACGTCAACTGCCGTCTAAATGCGTTGAATGAGCATTTTACAGCACTTGTTCAGCAAAAACACCACCATCAATGTATTCAACGTGCATCGGTTTGTTCAAATGCATCTTCGTCGTCAGGTGTGTCCCATACAAAGAGTAGCAGACGGAGTAGAAGTTCTACCGTCACTGGTTTGAGTCGAAACGAAACAACTGCGACACCTACCGTACCAGCGATTGCTGCGGCAGCTCTGCGCGATGGCTCACCAGATTCAGGTGTAGGCAGTGATGCTGCACTGGCGAAAGTATTTCGTGCTGCCGCAGAAACAACAACAAGCGGCGATTCTACTTTGTCTTCGCTAGGGCAATATCTTACCGTACACCTGCAGCTGGATTTGTGTACGTGGATCTTGTTTATTTTGGCAGCTTTCACACGTTTCTATAAGCTTTCTATACCCCACCATGTTGTGTAAGTTTCTCTATATGTCATGCAATTACATTTAGTAATGCATTATGTTTTGTCTCGCAGATTTGACGAAATACATTATGGCAAATATATCTCCCTTTACATGCGAAACATTTTCTTCTTCGACCAGCATCCGCCGCTAGGGAAACAACTCATAGCTGCGGTTGCATACACAGCCGGCGGTTACGATGGCAATTACACATTTCCACATATCGGAGCGGAATATAACAAAAATATGCCAATTTTTTGGTTACGCTTTGTGCCAGCGTTGTGTGGTAGCGCATTAGCGCCTATCGTTTACAAGCTTCTCATAGCCGCACGTCTTTCTCGATGGTCCGCTTTGTTAGGAGGAATACTTATTATTTTGGATAATGCATTGCTCACACAATCACGGTTTATTTTGATGGAGTCAATGCTTTTATTATTTGAAGCCTGTGGCCTGTATTGCATGTTGCGTTTTCAAGAAAGTCGTTTCGGTAGCTCTCTTTGGTTGATATTTGGATTAGCGTCCGCATCGTGTTTCTCTTTTGCAAGCAGTGTAAAATATGCAGGCTTTTTGACATATGGTCTCACAGCCTACCTTTCTTGCCGATTTTTATGGGATAAACTTTACGATGCTACGCTTTCAAGCAAGTTCTTCAAGTTTTCTACCTTACTCTTCACATATTTTATCTCTACATATTACAGATCTGCATATTATTTTACAAACYTTTGGCCGCATCGTTTTATTCACAATTGTGCCAATTATGTTGTATATAGGCGTTTTCTTCGTTCATTTGCAACTATTATATCGTGCTGGCCCACATGATAGTATAATGACAAGTGCCTTTCAAGCTTCTCTTGATGGTGGATTAGCTTCGATAACAAAAGGTCAACCACTCAAAGTGGCTCATGGTTCACAGGTAACTCTGCGTCACACACATGGTCGTACATGTTGGTTACATTCACATACCCACGTGTATCCAGTGCGATATCCAGATAAGCGTGGCTCTTCACATCAACAACAAGTCACATGCTATTCATTTAAAGACGTAAATAACTGGTGGATTATTAAGCGTCCACATCGAGAAGATTTAGTCGTCGGGAATGAGTTGGATGTTATACGTCATGGAGATATTATTCAATTAGTACATGGGATCACGAGTCGTGGGCTCAACTCTCATGACGTGGCCGCACCCATGACCCCACAATGTCAGGAGGTATCCTGTTATATCGACTATGAAATTAAAATGCCTGGCGAGTTATTGTGGCGTGTAGAAATTTTGAACCGCGAGACGGTAGGTAATAAATAAGTGAAAATAATGAAGTATGCTTCGAAGATAATTTCCATATTCAGATAATTCATCTATGAATTACAATCTTTGATTATATGAATTATGCTCAAAACTACTTTTATAGGAAGGAAATATATGGCATGCCATTAAATCGGAAGTGCGACTAATTCATCATACCACGGGTGCAGCGTTACGTTATAGCGGGCGTCAACTTCCAGAATGGGGTTTTAATCAACATGAAGTGGTGGCAGACCGGAGCGTGGAGCACAAAGACGCAATATGGAATGTTGAAGAACATCGTTATACAAAAAGTAATTACTTATTATCTTCTTCTTCACTGACGTAGAAACCGCTTATGCGGTTATACATATACAACCTAAATAATGGAAAATGGTTTTAATAATGAATAATAACTTTCGTAACACAGCACAGGACCAACGTGAACGGGAACGACAACTGCTTAAAGCTGAGATGATTCCAACGAAAAAGACAAAGCTAACTTTTTTAGCAAAATTCTTCGAATTGCAAACGAAAATGCTTTGGGGCACAAAACAGCTAGATACCCACATGTACAGCTCCTCGCCCCTCGAATGGCCATTGTTAGATAAAGGCATTGCTTATTGGGTTGACACAAAAACTGGCAGTCAGATACATTTGTTGGGCAACATAATTATTTGGTACACCGGAACGGCAGCACTGATTTTGTATATCTTACTGAATATATTCTATGTACTACGTCGACGACGCCTCCATTTTGATCTGCCAGAACACGAATGGCACCGATTTCGCCAAGTCGGTGACATCTTTTTAGTTGCGTACTTTATACATTATTTACCATATTTTACAATGGATCGTGCACTGTTTCTGCATAACTATCTACCTGCCTTCCTATTCAAACTCTTACTGTTATGTTATGTATTTGAGCACATTGACTATTTGCTACGATTATACTGTTATGTTAATTGTAAATATAACGTTAAAGGTACTTTACAGCCACAGCGGATTTGGTTAGTCCGAAGCTATCGTCTAGGTATTTTAATATGGCTTGTATATGTTATATGGGTCTTTATAAAATTCTTGCCATTAACCTATGGCATGCAAAAACTGAGCCCGCAGAAGGTGATCAGTTTACGATGGAAAGACACTTGGGACTTTATAATACAAGTCCACAAGTCTACGAGTAATCGGATTTAACGATTTCCAACGTATCTTACACATCGGATGGTTGTTATAAATATTAATATAWATGTACATATATGTACACTCATACAGTAGATAAAATAAGTACGTCTAATTTATTAAAAAATGGCAGCGAATTCATCGCAAATGTAAGAATAGACTTTTAATAAAAATAATATTTAATCACCATATGCTAATAAATATATATTTAATAAACATAAAAATGTTGAATTATTCTCCTCTATAATTGACTCGTTTGCAACCGCGTTTTCAACTGTTCGTGAATTTACCTTTGTTTGGAATCGGAAATATGGGGATATCGTCTACAAATGTAGTATTACTTAACTTTATATTTCCACTGATCCTTCAAAAATCTAAATTTGGAAGCCCACGAAAGCCCCAGAACATTTTTTAATAACCCGTTTAGAAGTGAGCTGCAGGAGTAAATATTTATGTTGTACGTAAAAAACATTACAGTTATGTATGAGAAATGTAAAAACGAATAAACGAATTGTTTATAAACTTTTATTACGTAGAAATAAAAATATAAGTTCTACAAAAACAACTGTTGGTCATATTCGTTTCCGAAGAATCTATCCATTTAAAATATGTATACATATGTATGTGTAGGTGTGCGATTGATAAATTCTTGAGATACACTTCTAGTGTGAATTAATTAATGCTTTAGTTAATTTAACTTCTATTTATTCATCAATTATTTGAAAAAAAGAATCCTTAATATTGACAGACATTTAAGAATGTTGTAAAACTACACTATATACATAACTATGCCGATAAAAATAATTATTATTGTGAATTTCGGCAATTCTTATTTTAGTTTTAATTTATTATAAGAACCGTCCCTGGCTTATTTAAAATAGAAAGTATTTTTAGATTATGACATATTCGTCGACTAAAAGACTGTCATTCCTACGAATTCAGTTCTTGGCTGCCAGCTGAGCGGTAATTGGCCAACATATGTTATTTGTTTTTTATTTCGATTCCAAAAAAAGTTCTATCTTACAAAATAGTTACTGGTTACCTAATCTATAAGAACAAACCTAGAAAAGAGCAACACCAGCATACTCTCCAAAAAGTAACAATTTTTCTTGTGGAGCTTTTGCGAGAAACAACTTGTTGTTGCTGTCACTTGCGCTTTATCTTCGTTTTTTGTTTAGTGCTCAGTTTTTGAGAAACTCTTCAAAGTGGCGTTTGATTTTTCCGACATGTTCAAATTTTTGGTAAGTTTCTTCACAATAAAATAATTATTTATTATATAGTCCAATCTTGCCAAGAACGGAATAATGGAAACCTCGAAACATAGTTAATACCATTAATGATTTTATACGTAGTAAATACTACAAGTATCTATGACGTAGTGCTGTTAATTGTGTGTCGTTTCTTATAACAATGTCTGTATAATTATCACATAATCATAATTATCAGGGTAATGAAATTCAACGAATATTCAATCAAGTTATTTCTTTATTATCTATCTTTACATATCTCTGTAATTCAGTGTGACAGCTAATCTTGCCGAAAACTTTTACCTTATAAATGTATGTATTTCAATTTCAGATAACATTTGGTGCTGGTATATATACTGGAATTTATATAAGTCAAAATTATGAGGTAGGATCATTAATATAAATTAATTTATATATTATTTGACCATTTTCATCTTCAATTTTGAGGTTCCTCGTGTAGATGAACCCGGCAAGCTGGTCGATAAAATAAAAGAATTTGCGGACGAACATAGAAAAAAGTAATTTTTATTGAAATTTTGTTTATACTAAACTGCATACATGTCATTAGTTTTAATTTTTCGTATATAATGCTGTATTCTAACGTATGCAAAGTCGAAAGATTAAATACCCGCGATTAAAAATGTTGGAGCAATAAACTTTCCCCTCTTTTAAAAATATCAATGAAATTACAATAATGTATTCAATTGTGTTATTTTGATTTCTCCCATACGCAAATGAAGCATAACTATGAAATGAGCAACTTTACCACATCAAGCAAAACGTAAACATCACTTATTATCGTCCATTATAATTTATGAATATCCAAGCATCACGGGTATCATGCTAATTTAAAACACCAAACAATTGAATCAAATGGATTATCATATTTATACATTTCAATGGTTAATATTTTCAAATTTAGAAGCAAGTCAATTTTATAAAACGTTATATTTAATTTCCTATTGAAAATAAATTGAAACCCATATTTGTTTCTCGAAACATGTGTAAATATTTGTTAGATTATTTTAATGCTGCACTCATATTCTGTATTAAGAACATTTCATTTTAATCTCTTGAATTGCAGACTTCACACGAATTTAAGAGCCTCTTTTATAAAGGAAAATCCTAGGTGATTTTCTCGATCTAATAAGTATGTAATACTTGGTTACATTGTCAACGGTCTTTTATAAAGCGCTCTTTACTAGTATTTTATTAGATTCAATGATGAATAGTAAAACTATGTTTTATGTCGTTTCTGTTTGTGACTTTTATATATTTGCTTTAAATAAACGATACACCACCGCCATAATACTCAAGGCGTGTTTGAGGTTCTACAAATGCGAGCCAGTCAGATGCATGTGTTGGTAATAAGCCCATGCTATGACATTTGTATAATGCGACAGCTACATTTGCCATATTTCCCAAAAAATATATGAGTTTCTGACCACTGCCTTGTGCTCCTTCCGCCATTTTGGATGTGACTGAAGTGGAAAACATTGCTTTAAGTGGTCGGATAAGCATCATGCCAACCATCATTATGGGGAATATCGATATGGAACTACCCGACATGTACATTATGAACAAATTCATTGGAATCTGCAATTAATTCAATTGAATCAGAGCTATTAAATTAAAACATATGTTACCTGCTTCAAAGGACCAAGCGCCAAGTCCCAGGACTTCTTAATAACAAGTCGCTGATCTCTCACCACTTCAGTGTGGTTGACTAGTACTGTCGGATTGTAACCCGGAGGAGATGACAAGTCTCCATTTTTTCTGAAACAAAATTTCTTAATTTCGTTTCGATACAATATCTTACTGACGAAATTCAACCTACATATTGTTAAAATCCAAAGCCCATTTATACTTTTTAGCTGTTTGCTTCGAAGACATTTTATATATTTTACTTTATTTTAGGTGTAATAATTTTACAAAAAAGATAATGATAAAAACGAAATAAAAGTTGCAATTACGTAGAATGTCAATATCAAGATGTATTAAAAGCTAAATACTGTCAAAATGCGATGTTCGTAGAGAGAATGTCAAATAGGGAGTGATATCAGAGAACGTAAATTATAGACAGAGAACGTACATGATAAACGTTCTCTGTATCATTAACGCTAATAACAGACTTGTATAGTAAAAAACCAAGTTGGCAACAGTGTACTAGTACATGTTTATATACCGGTCGTTTGGTTTAAAGTGAGAGCCGAAATACAGTTCAAAATGTTTTAATGTTGAATATACGATTTTTTTTTATTATAATTAATGAACGAACACTTACACCTATTTGTATTAATAAACATATGTTAACAAAATATAGATTATTCGATATGGTAAGTCATTGCTCAATGTACTTAGGGTAGAAGCTAAAATTTTGAACAAAAGTTATGATAGCAGTACGAATACTAATGAGTCGCTCAGCGACTGAAATTTTCCGCGTCAGACTGGCTTGCTCGGTTAGTATTAAATTGCAACTTCAATTACTAAGATATGTGTAAGCAGGTGCGCATTTTCCTGAAATGTAGTGCTTTTTAATATATTCACTTGGTGAATTTCATGCGTGTATTAAAGAGATAGACGCTGAGAGGTCATTTGTTTCATTTTTTCTCGGTGCGTTAGTATTTCACTATTAATAAAATTATATTCGAGTACCTGTTAAGTTTAGTTCTTTATGTCTTTTTATGACTAATGAGAAGCTGCTCATGGAAATGCATTTAACTTTATTTTTTAATGTGGAAGTAGCTATTTCGGACGTTAAAAATTACAGCTGTTACTTATGTCTATGCTAATAAGCATCTTTTTGTTTGTATTATTATTTATTTGAATATCTGAATGCATTATTTGCTATATATGTATTTAACGTACATTTAGTTTAATTAACCAAAAATCATAAAATTATGCGATATATTATATGTGTTAGTTATACAATAACACTTCAGCTTTAATTAATCCGTCTACTTCAGTGTTTTGGTGGGCGGACGAGTTATAAAGTTTAAAATTTTACAAAATTATTGTTAAATTCTTTGTAAAGTAAAACGGACGCATTTTCGGACCGGACGACTGTAATATACTTATAATTCGTTTTAATATTAGGTATTACAGACTTATTTTACATTTTTAAAACTAAAATGTACTAAACAGTAATTTAACATATTTACTAGGGGTCAACTTCTTATTATTGTCACATAATAATATTTTACGCTTGAGCATTTCTTCAGTTTTGTAGTTTCCATCTGCGGGGAGGCAGTTGCGTTTATAAAAAGTGTATTTTCATATTCGACATATCTCCACGACCGGGAATACTTCAAATATGTGATTGCAATGCTTAACAACTTTACTAATTTGGAATTATTGCTCTTACATATGTGTTGTTTAAAGCGCTTAATTCAAATATCAACACCTACAACAGCTTATACACTACCCTGTTGCAATGTCGCTTGTAATATAAAATGATTTCATTCTTCTTTTTGAGCTTTACCTAGATTGCATGCAAAAATAAATTCGTCATACTACTGGTGTTATACTTGTGTACTTATGTATAAAAGAAAAAGTATGTGGAGGTGCTAAATTAGCTTTCAAGCATATACGGGTGATAATCATTTGAATATTGGATTCTTAAAAAAATTACTTCAGCTGTAGTAAATTTTGGGGTTGTCACATTATGTGCATACATACATATGTAGTTGCATATGCATATTAATTTAACTTGGAAAATTTAAAGACTTCTTTGTTCATAATACGTATTTTATATTTGCAGGTATTTGCCCCATATGCAAAATATGGAAGCACTCCATGCGGTGAAAATCCAAGATCTCCTCATGCACTCGTATATCACGCTGTTGCATTATACTTTTCTGAGTCTCTTCAATTTCTTAATCACAAAAAAACTGGAGTTACATCGAATATTACTGTAAGTAATTGCAGATCACTATTTTTCAGAAAACGAAGAACGAAGAACGAAGAAAAGATGTTTAGAATACAATTATCATTTCAGAACCTAACTTTCTGATATATTTCTAAAAAAGGAAAATCAGTACTAAATAGTTGCTATCACTTTCCACTTTTTCAACATAATTAACCAAAATAATTTATGGGTTTTTGAGTTATTACAGTCTTGTGTTAAATATGCGATGTACAATATCAGACATACATACATACGTGTATGTCTAGTATATGGACATACTGTCGTACACATACATATGTATGTGCATAGGTATACATATGCAAATGCAAATATACTATACAACCACTTGAAAACAACAAATTCTCGTCTAATTCATTTAGACACCCACCTTTTGACTTATTCAGTCACATAGTGAAAAATTATTGGTATGTCCATATATTAACCAAACCAGCTTTATGAATAATATAGCATAAGTGTTGGTTTCCATATTTCCAAAAGATTGGGTTTTTCGTATATGGGTGTTGAGAATGAGACTGCCAGAAGGAGTGTAATGGGTTCAGATACTTACATAAACCAAAATACTTGACAAATGGAAACTATTAGATCCACTGCTGAATATTCGTTGAATTAGGTGTATTTGGTACAATTGCGTCCCCATCAATACATATTTTTTGGTGTCCGAACAAAAATCAACCAACTTTTATAATAATTTTGAAAATATCAGTTGCTAGACAAATGCTCCAAGTGACGTCTGCACATTGACGGTTCAATTTTCACAGCCACAACGCAGAAGCTTAAAATTTAATTGCAATATTTGTTTACATTTATAGGAGGAAGTTTCACATTTATGGACGTGTATGCTATAAATGGGTAGAATCGGGATTTCATTGTTGCTGTAAATATTGTTTTGGTGATTGTGATGGCTGTTGGCTGCGGAGTAGATTACAGTTGGGTACGGTTTAGTAGTTAAACTTTTTTGGCCAGGTTGACTGGTAGAAGTCTTTTTTGGTTAATGTTTTTGGGTATGTTTTCTATTTATTATTTCAGTATTTATACTCGTATATACACCAGCCCAATCAAATAAGCGGTAATATAGCATACAGTGTTCGCCGGTAATAATAAACTTCTTAAATAACGGTTTTGGAGTTTGATGCAACATAGAAATTTACCATTAATATTCCCTTATCATGAGCACTAACTATTTTTATACTTTAAACTTATGGTTCAAGTTAAAACCTCCGCTTTTAAATACGGGTATGTTCTAGACTTAGTCAAATCATTTCCTTCTTTGGTACATAAGTTCACGTGTCTATAGACATACATTTGTATCAATGGATGCTTATATTTGTGAATAAGCTATATATAACTCAATGTATATATGTATGAATAATTAATTAGAAACTAATAGTCAGACTATGTATTGCTTCAAAATATATATTTTTCATAATACTCAGAATTCGATATGTACATATGTATGTATCTAATGCATTGCAAAGATTCAACGCCATCGTCTCCAGTTTCCGTTAGTGGAAGTTATTTATAGTAACACCAGATACAACCCAATAGAACCAAATCGTGTAAAATTACCTACAAACATAAAAGCATATGAGTATATAGGTTTCTGCTTAGGTTTATGTTTATAAACTAAGTTCTAAAAAAGTCTTGAACTATTCATATGAAAACATGCACTTTGGACCAATTTCCTAAATACCTTCAATATTTAAACGTCTCCCTACAATAATTTAAGCAAATATATGCAGACGTTAACTCCAGTTGCCACGCTAATGTTTTTATAATAATCCATATTTTCTATTTATACTACGCTTGTGTTTAATTTTAGGACTATTGCCCAAATATGAGTTTTTAGTCAACTAGTGCCATTTACACTGTGTAGTTACTGTCCCACAGTGGGCAAAACTATTGCAGGAGTACTCAACAAGTTGACTTTTCTAATTTTAACATCATGCGTTTCCGTTGATGGTTGATGAAAAGTGAATGACAAAGCTTAGCGGCAGGAAAACACTGAAGCGCATACTGTGTAAGAGAATGTAGGAATTGAGTTGAATGAGTAAGCAATCTCAACTGCGATCTAGATGAGAACATGCATTCACCCAACAGCTTTCAAATGCCAGAAAAGCCTTCCAACACATACTTGTAGTAATTATATTTGTATTTACACGCAGATAGTTAGTATGTTGTTCATCTAAGGTGGATTTTCGGAAAATTATTTTCATTCAGCTTAGTTGTATTTTGGATGTCACCATGATCACGCGTGATAAAGTTTTCGTAGATTGACAGAAGATAAACGTACAATAGTTATAATAAGTGAAACGAAACGGAAAAGGAAGTTAGTAATGAAAAGTGATAGAAATCGCATTCGTTTGCAACCACCTACAATATATTGCAAATATAACACTTCAGGGAAGGACTACAGGAATTTAAGCAAGTACATAGATGTGTTTGTGTCATAACTATGCAATTCACTTAACCAGCCACGTGTTATTATAATACGAAACCAATTTTTTCTCAAATAAGTATTCTCAATATTAAAGAGTGCAAGTAAATCCTCTGCAGAATGTAATTAAATTCAAAGTGTAGAAATATTTTCACATACATATACCGTATATGGTAATTTTCGCATAAAGGGAATCGAATTTCACACAAAAAGCACAAACAACATTTTAAATTTTCGTAAAAACTCGCATAAGGAAATTGTGCGCATACACAGAAAAGTGGATGCTATAAAACAAGAGCACGACACGGTTTTTGCCAATAATAAGCTAAAAAAAAAAATAAAATACCAAAAATAATTTAAAAATACAGCTCTCTGAGCGAAAACGACAACTGTGTAAACATGTGAGAGTAAAGTGAAGTATACGCCTCTATTTTTTTAGTTCAATAACATATCAAACTTTAGTACGAGATGTTGCCGGAACTCCTATTTACCGGTAATAATGAATGCTTAATTGCATTCTAACATTTCATTTCTCTCTGCTATTTACAAAAACAGTTTACATATGTTATTTGCATAGAGATAACAAGGAAACCTGTTGCCTTAATATAATTGTGATTACAATTTGTGATTCTGCTGTTAATACGCAATAGTATGAGTATTATTGTTAAATAATGCAATTGTGCATTATTATTTTTAAATAAGTAAATAGTGTTGTATAATAGAAAAATAGTCATGATGATTATTAAAAATTTCCATATTTTTTACTACTTTGATTATTTAGTGCATAAATGTAATTATAATTTTTTGAATTTGTATCACAAACAGCTGCTGATAGCATGCAAGACGAGTTTGATTTCTTGAATGGCGCAAATTCTATTTACAAAAAGGGCATGTGTATTTCGCCAGCAGTGCCGTTGGAGCCTCAGCTGGAGTCCTCAATTGAAAATAATGCTAACAATTGTATTGGAAATGTAAGGCCTGTAAATTTACCTAGTGTCATCAGAAACGAAGATTCAAGTCATCCCATAACATGGAAACAGCAGTCAATAAATCTTCAAGAACACTCACGTCAACGGTTGCGAAGCGACCAACACCGTCACGAACAGCGGCAGCAACGTCGCTTAAATTTAACCACTAGCAAATTACTGTTACAAAACTCTGATGATCCGTTAATATGCCATGGCGCCAATAATGTTGGTGCGGGTGATGATGATAGTCACCTAATTATATGCACAGCACCAAATGAAGAAAATACACAAACTGCGAACCTACTGCCTGCTTCATCAACTATAATCAAGCAAAACCTTTCTTCAACGACAAGATCTAAACCACTACTCAAAAAGTTGCCTCAAAATGGTTGCAGCTTATTAACCAAACAACAGCTTAAAGTTAAGGCTGGTTTAATGAGCGTTCAGAATCGTGCAGCTAATGATCTAGACAAACGCGGACATATAAGTACTGACGTCGCACAAACTAATAATAAAAAGAATGACCTAAAATCGTCCAAAAAAAAAGGTGTTTTAAAACTCCGTTTTCATCACCAAGCTCTGCCGCCAGAGTACCTCATTCACTATGAAGCTACTCAGGGGCAGCTTACGCCTTTCGTTAAAGAATCAAATGCGAAGTCATCCGAAATTCGTTCTTCCAAAAATCTTCACCCCTCCAAACTATCCCCATCTCAAAGTGGGCAAGAAAATGTTCGCAGCTGGTTGCAAAAGATTGCAGCAATCCAACGATCGGCTCAAGAGGAAGACATAGAACCAGTTGAGAGAATACATGGTCAAAAGCCTACAAGATTGGAGCTTCCTAAAACCGAAGTTTATAACGATCCAAACAATAATTATATGGTCAGAGGAATGCACTCTTCAAAACCTGGAATTTCCCATGTATCAGCTGTAAAAAATGAGATCCGACTTGATTCTAAACACTCACATAATTCTGAAAAAGATCAGTTTCATTCTTTGAGTCTCAAATGCGCAATGAACAAATTTTCTTCAAATGCAACAACTCTTAACGCTATCAACTCAGCATCAGTAAAACGGGCCATCAACTTTGCTGATCTTCCGTACATGGGTGAAATAACGCTAGACAATTCGAAACCACGACGTGGTAGGAAACCCAAAAAAGCTGATATTTGTCACTTAATATATAAAAACTATGGCACAATATTACCCGGTACTCCCAATACGCCATTATGTACATCAAAACTTGCAAAGGAAAATGCGCAAAAGCATGATATTACAGACGAATTGCCTTTGAATCTCTGTGTAAGAGATCAGCAATGCGAGTACTTGTCGATTTCGAGCGGAGAAAGTGAAAATGCCTGCGGAATAGACGATGTTGAATGTATAAATGCGCACAATCTGGGTGTAGAAAATTTCTTAGAAACAAAATTAACTAATTTAATGCCCAGTTCCGATCTCAAAAGGTCAGTTATTCTAAAAGTTGAATCAAATGTGGATACAAATAATTCTACAGATTTAACGCCCTCATTTTCACATCCAAATGAAGCAAAACTTGATTTACATCCATTAAGTCAATACTACCAGAAATTACTTTCAGGTACCTTAGTGAACAAAAGTAGTCAACCATTTGGTCTACCTGTGGAGACTATAGAAAAAGACAACCAACTTTCGCTAAAAATACCAATACCGAGCGGGTTGATTCGTATGTCAAAAACAGAGAATATGTCTCCGACTCTACGCTTAAACAACCAAAATATTGATTATCCGGATCTTATGTCAACGCCGTCTTCGATTAAGTCGGAAAATTCAGCAACAACATCGGCGAGTACTGCGGTTGCTACGTCAATAAATTCTACTTATCAGATTTTCACTCCTCAGAAGCGCAAACGATCCGCCATATTCATTCCACCAATTCCGACGGAAATTACACCAAACACACCAACAGAAGTCAGCATATGCAAATTCAAATTCACTGGTGGTGACAAACCATCGTTGGAGGAGAAGAAAATGCTTTCTGTGGATTCGAATGGTAATTATCGATATTATAGTGGTACTGGCGATAAATCAACCCGTGGTTTTGAATATTTCCCTCGTGAAAGTTTACAAAACTCTGCTGGTTTCTTACCAGGTGTTAATTGTGTAATATCATGGCCGACACCGGAAAATGGATGTTCAATAAATGATATACCACCACCATCAGCTGAACTTAGTAATGAAATTTTACAAATTCCTGAGTCTCCGACTGCAAACTTGTTATCACCAGCATCTGTATCATTAACAGAGGTTTCAATGTCATTGCCAACATCAAGGTTAGAGTCTTTATACACTGGTTCTGCAGCTCAATCCACCCAAAAACAATCACAGAAAATTCAGATAATAGTAGGTTCAAACTACAGCAATGATATATCTAAACAAAAAAGATCTTCCATGAAAGATAATTCTGCAAATTTAACGGTTAACCCGTTAACTTGCCACTCTCTACATCCTAAAAAGAAGTCGCGAAGATCAACACAGCGCGAAAAACTCGAGAAAGCATTTAGAGAAAAAGGATATCTTATTCAAACACAACAACTCGAATCTGCTGAAGGAGCTACGTATTGTAAATTTCGACAATTGAAGAAGTTCACCCGTTACTTGTTCAGAAATTGGAAGGATTATCTTCCCGAAGAAGTACATCAGTCAAATGTAGTAGAGAAAGCATTTTTAAGTCATCAGCCTTTAACCAAGAATGAAATGACAAAAGAAGTAAATAAAACAGACAGCTTTACAGAGCAGGACATACAGAATATACTAGAACGTCATGGATTTTTAACTACTAGTGAAGTTTGCTCGCAAAATAGCACTCTTAGTAGTACTACTAATTTAACAGAGAAAATTATGCCCGAACAGAAATTGGTGGATAACATTGCAGAGGCATAATTAATTAAATTATATAATTTGAAGACATTTAATTTATTTTCGTTACAAACAGTTTTATTACGTATTACTTATAATGCTTAATATTTGCATAAAATTTCTAACACTGCCAAAGAATCATTAGAATTTAAGGATACTTTAAGGATACTTAGATATATATGTATATTTGCATGTATTAAACTAGTCATTGCACAAATTATTATTTCATTGTGCAGTTTGAAACCACTTTGCTCATAAATAGAAATTATGCCTTTTATGGGATTAAGTTAAATAGATAAATGTGACAAAACTAATTGTGAATTCCTATTGTAGTTAAAAGTAAAACAATCCATTCGATTTATGCAAAATGTATACATTTTGCTGTTTATATTTTCTTGTCAAAAACTTTATTAACACAACATCTATGTATATAAAACGTTTTTGTATATACAAATTCATGATTAACTATCTCGTTCGTATTTTATTATTTGGTAGATAATATATATGTATAAGTATTACAAAATTACAAAGTGAACGTCATTGAAATTAGGTTTACTAAATGCCTATTAAGGCAACATTTTATGTTCAATACTATATTTTTTCTTATTTTATATTCCGTTGCATATGATACAATTCTATAAAATTTATTTGGAAGACATTTTAAATCGTAAATGCCTGCGCAATACCAAAAAAATTGTTTAACAACACAAAGTATGTTCGAGAATAAAAATTTTGGTTTGAAAATATACGAAAAAAGCACTGGAAATGATACATTTGTTAAATACATAAGATTGATGGTAAGTAACCTTAATAGCCAAGAATGAAACCATAGTTAATGTATCCTTATAAATATTTTTAATAAATAGTAAATTGTAGTACGCCTGAAATATTGCGTTTAAAACCGAAATAAGAATATAACGGAAACAACATAAAAGTTAGCGTCAAAGCAGTAAAGGTTAGAGAATAGGCATCTTGTCGCGGCATTAAATATTCCCAATATAGTTTTGTGTAAATGGTACCGAACGACAACATTCCATTTCGGGGAAACAGATATAAATATGTATCCTGTTACTGACTTATATTCTCAGAGCATATTCCGGAGCTACTTGAATTACTTAGTTAAAGTGGCTTATCTTGGTCGTTGTTGAGCAGGCAGGAGGACATGGGGCAGACATAATCAGTCCAATCCACTTCTCCATTTCCCTTGTTACTTTTCCTTCGTTTTAATGAGAACTGCGTCTTTTTTGGCGGTTTTATTTTAGAAGTTATTGTTAATGGTTGATAACCCGGATTTGATTCAATGTCACGTTTATTTTGTATTATGTCACGTCCAAGTAATTCTTTGAAATGTGTAGCCAAATGTCTGAAAGTGATAATAATCAGCAATTACAAAAATTGTAAATCTATTATTTGTTTCTAGTTTATGAATAAAAAAAATATTCTTACCGCCGTAATAAAGTTTTACTAGGAGGTATACTAAGCAAATCTGCCAATAGATCGGCAGTGAAACGTGGTTCATAAAGCATTAATGCACCATGTACGCCAGCACCTCTTAAATTGGGTGCATACTCTGATAGATCTGCAACTCTCAGCCACTCCATAACCCGATGTGCAGTCCATAAAGATATGTTTTCAGTATTTACTTCTAAATTTTTCTCGTCTTCCTCTAAGGAGTGATCATCTACGTCTGAAGTAGGACGTGCCGATCCGGCCGAGCGTCGAATGAGGCACTCGGCGTTCCATTCCACTTCGCGCATACATTGAATACCACAGCGGAGTGACGCTATATGTAAACAAGAGTAGACATGCAAATGGGCCAAATCCTCCATTGTTAAACGGTGAAGCATTCTTCCATCAATTTTTGCCATTAAAAATGGATCTTTGTATTGTGGTAAACCAATATCATCTAACCAACGCATAACCCAACTAACATCTAGTTCTGCAGCTTTCAAAGCTAGTGGATCATTTTCTTTTCCTGTTAGTTCATCAATTGCTAATAATATTTTCTTTCGATGAAGAGATGATTTCAGATTTAACTCCCGCTCTATATCTACTGGAGACACGGTGAAAAAACATATGTTGGTGCTGGTATTTAACCACTTTCTAAATGAAAAAAATATGTAATGGTATATTCATTAAATTTGGGAAATAGTAGTAGCACTTGCCTACAATCATCAGAATAACAACCAAGTCCGAGATCCGTCAGCCAATTACATACTTCTTGCGTAGGCCACTCGGTGTAACATTTTGCCGAAGTTGAAGGCTTTGCAGATTGAGTATTCCATTCAATTCGCCCACCTGCTGTGGCACGTGTGATACCTCCCCTTTTAAAAGCTGATTCTACATTCTTTATAGCTGGCATCTCTAAAGTTCCACTATTGCTTCGTCTCAATTTCCCTAAAATACCTTTTAATCCTTTAGCTGATCTTTCACGAGTATTAGGTGATGATATACAATATGTAGCATCCTCCCGACATTCAAGTGCTTCGTGTTCAGTTCCAGAAAAAAACCCAGTCAATTCCCCAATAAGTATTTTTTCATTTGATGCAAAAGCCACATTACGTTGTCGCTGCATATTTGCATTTCTATCAAATTGGTGATTATTTTCCGAATTTATTAAATTGCTATGACTGTTGTCGTTATTATGCTTGTTATTCCGAGCCCGTGGTAAACTATGATACTGGGGATGTATCTGATGACGTAATGACACAGGAGGCGTTTTAGGTGATCTGACATTTTCATTACTATTGAAATTTGTTTGATTTAAATTACCCATACTTCCAAAGAGAATTCGCTTAGGGTTTAATGATTTAATAGGGCTATCACGCAGCTCTATATTTTCACGTTCCAAAGCTGCTCTATGAAGCTTCAGCTCGCTAAGAGCTGTCATTAACTCTAATTTTTGAGTTTCTAAAGATGATCTTGAAAGCATTAAACGCTGCAATTGTTCATCTCTATCACTTAATAATTGTGTTTTTTCTTGAAGAAGACTCTCCAATTCAATAATTTTAGCCCCTTGGTCGGAAACACGATCGGTTAGGAGTTGATACTGAAGAGCTAATGCTTCTTTGTCCCTCTGTAATCTTCTTAGTCGCTCATCGGCATCTTGGCGAGGAATATGTGTTTCTAACCAATCACTTATCACGGCTACTGTAGCTGAATCTGGCACAGGTGCAGCCAATCCTACCTAGAAAACATTGTCACACACAGACAGTACACTTTACGTTAAAATTTGATTACCTGCTGAAGAGCTAGTGCAAGAGTTTTTGCAGTTGACAACACATTGTTTACTGAAATCAAACGGCGTTCCGTGTTAATTATCGTACTGGGTTTAACCCGCGATTTTATACCATCACCAGAATCATTTAAGTTGCTATTTCCTGATATTATGCCATCCATTTGTTGCAGAGCTGCTTCCAACATTTTGCTTGCATTAGTTGACAACACATCTGAAGTTGTGTTTGCGTTGCTTACATTTTCATCTTGTTGATCCATTACACTGGTTGTATTAACTTTTTGACTGTTAATCTCGAGCATAAATACCTTTGGAGTACAGAAAAGAGGTTGTTCTATTTTTATTCTAATATGCGTTTTCACTTCCGTTGTAATTGGGTCGTTCTACTCGTATTTATCACACCTAAATTTTTTTCACAAAACTAATACGATATTGTGTTTAACTTACAAATACGTTTCGGTAAGAGTTTTCAGTAATTCACTCTTTTTTAAATTTTTAAGAAATAAATCAGAAAAATATAAAAACTTTAGGAATAAGGAAAATAATAGAGAAAATAACAAAATATATATTTTGTGTAATAAACCATTGTTGCCATATAAAYGAGATTTCCAAATTCTACAAACTTTAGCTACTAAATAAGTAATAATTTGTACCGTGTTATAACGAAACATATATAAAAAAGAGGTAAATGTTCAGGAGTGCGGCTTTTCCTAGAACATGCACCAATTTTCATGAGAAATGTCTTAAAATTCTTGTTTTGCATATATTAGTATATAAACCAACGAAACTTCGACTTTTTTAACATTTCCTACGACATTGATGTATAAGATCTAGCAAAAGTTGAGAGCAAATACAACTCTGATGAGAAAACTAATGTGTGGAACACAATGCCAGCGACAGACTGCAGCAGCACGACAGTGAACTGAAAATGGCGTTGTGAATCSTACTACAAGAACATTTGTGAGAGGGCARCAACATAACAATGGCCAGCATGTACACAAAACAACTCAGTTGTCCATTTTGCAAGTACACAATTTCGTTGTGGCCATACTAATACCTTGCAGTTCAATGAAATTTTAATATTTTGTTCAAAGTGAAATTTTTAAGCAAAAAATAAGTAAATAGRTAAATTTATTTGTTTNAAATTATCAATTGTTATTATAAATGATGTAACAGAKCTATTTTATGCTTTTATTTGTAAAATAACGTCAGTTTTGCTAGAGCTTTGAGTAATTTTATATTTTACATATTAGTGGCATCACCACTCTACCTCATCTCTCTATCTTCCATTCTGCTGTCAACTCTACTGTCGTCCTACTGTCGTTGGCAAATATAGGATCAAATTGAAGTTAGCGAGAACGACAACTGTCGGCCTGCCGTCGTGTAGTCGTGCAGCTGTCAAAATAGGTCCGTCCATAAGAACGTGTGTATTTAAATATTTGACAGATGTCGTTTGCAGTCTGTCGCGAGCATTGTATTCCAGACATAACTCGTTCCTATTTCATTTTGTAACGAACGAGTATTAATTCTGGAGGAACTACTCACTTCTTTTCGTCATTTATTAATACACCCATTCGTAGTCCTCGAAAAGATTTAGCTGTTTTAAGGAAGTTATATTTTCATTTCAAATTATTTATATGCTTGTTTAAAATTGCCAATCAAAAATTAAAGTAATTTAGCCGCTCTTGTAAAAAAATTAATACTATCAAGAGTAAGTATATTAAGGTAAATTCCGAACAAGCTTGGAGTCAACTGATAAATGTGATTGATAATTTAATATTAGTGGAAAGATATAGCTGAGTAGACACTGTCAGTATTTCTTCCAAATATATGAATTCGATGCATTAAAGAGATCAAATTATATTATGTTCCTAAGTAATTAATATCGGTATGTATGATGTTAGTGAGTCACAAAGAATCTTTAGACCTATTCTTTAAAACAGCGGCTGGAATATTTATGTACATAAGTATGTGATGTATGTATGACTCATGCATTGTAAAATTTAATATTTATGGTGGTATTTATGTAAGAAAAGCACACACACACTAGATACTTCTATTATTATATTAAGAGTATTAACTGGATACTAAAATGTATCACCAATAATATTAGTATTGTAACAATGTTTCTGTTTGTAAAAAAAACTATAGAATATGTCAGCAGAGTCACACGCCGAACACGGTATTCATGATGAGGACATACACGACAGCACGTACCAGCCACCGCCGGAAAAAACTATCGAGGAAATAATGGCTGTGGATCAAGAGGATGAGAGTTTACGTCGCTACAAAGAGGCTTTGTTGGGGCCTGCACAGGCTGAAAAAATTATTGTTGGTATGATAACAACAGGACATGATATCAATAATATTACTCACATATTCCTAAATTAATTTATATTGCAGATGCAAATGATCAACGCAAAGTGATCGTGAAGAAATTAGCTTTGGTAGTTGAGGGTCGAGATGATATGGAGCTTGATTTAACGGGTGATATAAGTCAACTAAAGAAACAGGTAAAATTTAAATTCAGGAATTTTTTGAACACCAAGATAACATTATATAAAGAGAAATGTGCATACAATAGTAATAACAATTTTATTATAACTACTGCATTTCAATCACAACATTTATTTTTTACATATAAATTGACAAATAATAATAAATTTATTTTGGCTTTCTAGGTATTCGTCATTAAAGAAGGAGTTCACTATAAAGTGCGCATAGACTTTATTGTGCAAAGAGAGATTGTTCATGGCCTTAAATACGTACAAAAGACTTATAGATTGGGTGTACCAGGTAAATATTAAATTTATGCTTATTTTATTACTATAAATCATTACAAAAATCTGATAATTCATTTTTATAAGAATTTTACATATGTAATTTTAGTAAATGTTTACCATTACTATCATAGTTATATGCAAGTTATTTTGATTTACTTTTTTAATTTATGTGTAGTTGTGTTATATTTTAAAATGTGATATACATAAAATTTAACTATGTGTCATTCTTTTTAAAGTGATACACAAAATGTTGCACCACAGTTCGTTTCAAAAAACAAATATCAGGATGATGAGCTTAACATTTTTACTCGCTTTTTATTCTGCAAAAGGCTTTGTCTATCTAAAGGAATTCGTTAATAAAAATGTATCTGTATCTGTGCTAATAGTATGGTTGATAAAAAATTTTCTGTTAATCTTTATTTTTTATTTTAATTTTAATCATGTAACATACATATATATCTAAATTATTTTCCCGCTGCTGACTGTTGATTTGTTAATATTGTTAACTAATAACTACTAACATTATTTGTGTGATTATGTTGTGTTTCTTTGTCTTTCAAATTAATTCAAAAGTTGTTGGTAAGACAGCCAGTATTTTTAAATTTTTTTACTACTTAAAAAGTAATCATAATTTCTGTTTTATATTTTAGTTGATAAAATGACTCATATGGTTGGCTCATATCCACCGAAAAAAGAAATTCAATTCTACTTAACACCATCTGAAGAAGCACCAGCAGGCCTGATGGCACGTGGKACGTATTCAGTTGCATCGTTATTCACCGACGACGATAAGCACATACACTTGAAATGGGATTGGACTTTCGAAATAAAAAAAGATTGGGAATAAAGAAGTACCAAAATCAGAAGCTATCACAACTCTTATAATATAAACAGTTTTTAGCTGGAACGCTCTCCTAACTTGATCTAAAGCAATTTTTACGACATCCGAAAGAACTGAATCCTTTTGCTTCCTTTAATTTAAGAAAATACTAAAGTATTCTAAATTGTGTATTTAAGCAATGGCAGTCGCCAGTTTTGATGTATGTATAGCATTTCGAAATTTTATTTCTTTACTTTAATAAACAAAATGTGTTTTTTTTTTTGAGTTGTGTATAGATAAGTTCATATTTTATTCAACATTGATACCTCATGTAATATTTCAATATAATATAAATATCTGGAAAACGTAGCCTCAATTATATCCAAAAAAAAAAAAAAGGCACAAGTCGGAATTCTCTTTTGCCTTTGAATAAATTATGTAAAATAAATAAATAGTATATTTCTTAGCAGTTTGGAAATTTTTAGAACTACTTTTGGAGTATTAATTATTTGGGGTATGTTCATTGTTGAATAATAGTTAGAAGTAAAGCCGACACAAAAATAAATAAAAACATACTTGCATTAATATATAATAATGCAAAGGTTATCTATTAATAAAGTTACCATTAACTATGAAAAAATACCTATGAGAGTAGCACCCTGCAGAGCTCCCATGATCAAAACAAAAGTATTAGTAATCAAAATAAAGGAAAAGAAATTATTCTAAAGGAAATACATATTAAAGCGATACCAAATTTACCTTATATTTGGAATATTTTACAAAGTGTAATCAGCACAAGCAATTTGGAAATACAGAATAATTGTAATTGAAACATTTTTGAAATTCATGTTTTTTTATTGTTGATTTTTTACAGATGTAAGTATAAGCAGCAGGAGTTATTAAAATTAGTTGACACTATTTTATATCAAGAATATTGCTTTCAGCAACATGTTTCCGAGCCTCTGTTATGTTTCAGCTCCATCAAATAAGCCAACATTTTTCAAAAACACTATACATGTATGTGTGTGTAATCATTTCATAAATATATATTAATTTAGAAGTACTCCACATAAACCTTCCAAAGCTGCGCTCCCTGCATTCATATACAGTTTTTATCGGCTTAATGCAAAAATAGCGATATTTCCATAGTGAATCCAAAACTGATGTTCAATAAATTGAATACAAATCTATTTACCATACTAGTTTCAATGTTGCGCGTTGCTCTGGACAATATTCAAAGGCACTGAAGTTTTTAAAAATGATATATACACAAATCATAATGTTCCGACCAGTGAGCTCACACTCTTTCATAGATAGTCACGTTAATCTACAAATCTTGTGCAATGTAAATCGAATAACTGTTGGGATGATTGAAATAACTTTACTTAATAGACTGTCTCCACCAACTTGCCCATCCAAATACCGACTTGTTATTTATAAGAGGGTTGGGAGTACATAAAGAGCAAACTTACCATATATAATGACATGTTTTGTCATTCTGCTTTTGTTTATGGTGTGGTTCTTAATGTTACCCATTTTCCTAATTTAAAATATCTTCGAAAGGGTGATGGATTTTTAAGAGACTTTATAAACAGTTATTAATTTTGTTTATGTCACGCTTCGAAATTAATTCGTTAATTGAATATTATGACATATTATAGAATCAGACGGGGGTTCCGTTACGTCTATGTGGGAATATGAAAAAGTTGTTCGACTCTATCTCACTTGATAGCGTTCATTGTAGATAAAAAGTTAATTCAAACCATATCTATGTGCACGCGAAATTATAGCATATTAGCCTATAGCTAAATACTTTTGCAATGTTCACAATTATATATTTTGACCAAACTTAGACAAATTATTGCTGCTGATAAGGATTACTCATACGCCCCACTATACCTAAGATCTGTTGCTTCAAGCACAAGCACATCGCCCATTTGACTATTTGCTCTTCTATGTGTTGAATATTTTTACAACATATTGCTTTCCGCAAAATGTTTCTGGGCATCTGTTATGTTTCAGCTCCGTCACATAAACCAACATTTTGACAGAGCAACATTCAATACACATAATTATTCAGTAGCACTTATTAACATAGATGTATGTATACATATACAAGTATATCTAACATGCGACAACAAAAAGAAAAAGGTAATAGTAAGGTCAATAAGAAGTAACCAACACGTGTATTTATGTTTACGAGTATATCTCATTTGTAAAAATATAAATATAAGTACGTACATATATGTACAGAGAATTGCATATGTACGAATATCTACATATGTATATACCGATATGTCGATATGCATGCCACATATTAGTCGCCAGTAGCAACGGTTTTCGGGGTGACGACTGTGGAACGCGCGCGCATGATGTCTTTGTAAATGTGTGCGTGCAGCTACATATTATACAAACACATGTGCAATATTACTCTGAGATTCTATAGAATTGTTGTGCTGGGTGGGAAAAGCTAAACCGGCGCATAGTGAGTGCAAAACAGTTTGGCCGGTGACGTCCTCTGGTGCAGATCAATGCTACTGGTGTTATTTGCTCGCGGTCGTTGACTGCCCGCGAAAAACCAGTCGGAAAATTTTCGGTTGAGTTGTGATAGCTAAATAAAAACGAATTGGCAGATAGTATATTCAATGCATTTTCACGCAACGACGCAACTCTATCTGAATGTGAGCTTGTAGGTTGCTAAATCTTACGAATATTGACAGCGCGCGTGCTTATAATGCTTTTGCCATAACTTTAAATTTTATTTGGTGAATAAATATTTTAGGTGAGTCAGTTTTATATGTACATATTCCATATATTTATGATCATATCCTCTAAAAATGTAAAATAAATGTACCTGATGTAAATGATGTGGAGGAAAATGTTATAATCGACGAAATAAATAGGATAGACGAATCTATTTATGCATATATATATGAATATGTGAAAAAAACTAGAAAACAGAGGCACTCATACCTCCATACTCATCCAACAACGGGTCAGCGAATATAGTTCGAAAGTGTGACAAACCAATTAGAGTTTAACTTTAGTTGCGTCTTATTTGTATTCAAAAGTTTAGCTACAGCAATGGTGACGTAGGCGTTACTGCCGACAATGGCACGGATGATAACTACAACAATACTGTTGATGGCGATGTATGCGCGTACATTTGCTAATGGATTCGTTTAAATTATAACTAATAACAACACCTAATAATAACCGACTGTAAACAAACCTGATAAATTTACGGATGTGGATAATATGCCTTAGACAAAAGTCGAAACGTACGAAGCATAATGTTTATAACTAAACAAAATGCTTTATGTTTAATGAACGATTAGTCAAATAACAACAGCAATGAAATGGAATATATGCTTTTTTAATAAAATTTAAATGACGGCTAATTTTTCAAGATTAAGAAATGCTATACTTGAGTGTTTATAAGTATTTATTCGAGACAAGAGTACGTGTGCATGTGTTACACTCGCCAAAGCAGTTTATATGCCGTGTTGCTAATGGAAGACTATTCTCAATAGATGTGCTGTATTTTTAGACTGTCGCTTATATATATCTGTTTTTTTTAATCATTTATTAATGCAGCAAAATTTTGTGCTGTTTTGAGGCAATAAAATTCGTCGACATTTCTGTGTAAGATACGTACATAAGTATATGTACTGGTGGRTGTTTCCACTTATGTGTGTGTGCATGATGTTTGTTATATATAATCCTAATAAAAATGTGACAATGGCTCGCCCAATTTTAATATCTAAAACATCATTTGCCTAGCATAGAAGTACTTATTTTTAGTGTAACGTGACGATTATGACCACAACCATTACTGGCTTCATCTTCTTTTCATATACTCGCGCTTACACACAGATATCTATAGTTCGGGGAATTTTTTTTGGCAGAAATAAGAAAATACCTTTGTACCTGTTTTTGGGCTTGCTTTTAGATATAAAATCAGTTTCAAATATCATATTTCACTATGAAATTTTGCCGACCGCTCAAAAAGATTTCCTAAATATAACAAACATACTAAAGAATTTAATCCTATATATTATATATGTTCAGTTTTTAACTTCTTTTTCCGACGTTTAAAATTTTCTGTTCTTTACATTTGCCATTTGCAATATACACGTAAATAAAAAAAACATATTTTAACGATATCTGTAATAAAAATATCGCCTGCAAACACTGCGACAATTGGATTTATTTAACCAAAATAACTTTTAGTAAACTTTGTTTTTTTACGAAACTGTTTGAACATATTAAAAGAAAAACTCATTTCTCACTCAAGAAAGTAATCCTGGATGGAAGGATTTATAATACAACTTGTTCAATGTAAATACTGAGCAGTTGCAAATTGTTTTTCTTGCAATTAATTTCGGCATTTCGACCAAGCACCCAAAATTTGCATACCACTATAAATTTATGAATGAATTTCGTAAAACGTTTATTGTACACTTTTATTTGTACATATACAGGTATGTACATGGACATGTACATATGTATATAGCATATATGCATTTTATAACTTAATCTGTTTATGCTATTGCATTTCGTAAAACGTTTATTGTACACTTTTATTTGTACATATACAGGTATGTACATGGACATGTACATATGTATATAGCATATATGCATTTTATAACTTAATCTGTTTATGCTATTGCATTCGTATTTTCTCGCTTGATCTTGGCGTTTTCTCCCTTGATGTTTAAAGATCATTTCCACTCAAAACTCACTCAAACTGCTTTCACTTCCAAATCCACTTAATGTGATCTCTTCCACTCAAAACATTAATATCACCTTATAGGTGAGAAAGACACATAAAGAAGAAAAAACGGATGCATAGATACGTTTAAATTACGATTAATGGCTAAAATGCAAGGAATTTGAAAAAATTATTCTAAAGTGTATAATGCCCCTATTATGTATGAACACCGCTGAGCAACCGTAAACCAACACATAAATGTAACAACCCTCTACTGATTATCGACGACTGAGTCTAATTTGCTATACGAGACTCTCTTTCTACTGTACATTTAAGACAACTGCTTATCACTAGATGTGAATACTCTACTATACACTCATCTATATTATGCTGTAATTTGTAAGAAATGCTTGTTATTTGGAATTATACGTGTGTTTAAAAGCCTGGATTAACTTTCTTGATTTTGGATCTGGACAGTTATAAAAATAAAAAAATTAATTAAGCAATAAGTGCTCAAACACTTTTTCACTTTTATATTTATGTAAAACTAATATTTATTCAATATTCATCGATATTGTCATACCCTGCGTATAC